GCCCAGGGACCCCCTGGGAGTATGGCCGGTGCGCGCAACGAGCTGCGGCCTGGAGAAGGGAAGGTCCCTTTACGTAGAAGATTGCAGAACCCTACCAGACAGCACTTGGCATTCTGCCACCCCTCAACGTGCCAGGGACCACGGTAGCGGATTCAGTTTTGCTGAATGTTTTGCTGTGCCCCTTGGGGCCTCCTGGGGTGCCCTCGACGCAGGGCGGGATCCGCCTCGAAATATTATGGTCGGAGCGATCCCCATGAGGTCCGCAGAGGCCGACTTTGAAGCGGAGCGGATCCCGACTTAAGCGACTCGGAAAGAATCGCGCCGGAGCTTTTTCCCCCATTTTCGGCGTCCAGGGGCGCTTCTGGGCCCTTTGGCTGTGGAGCAGGACTCACACTGTAAAGCGCTTCCTGGGCTAGGGGTCGAGAGTTTCGGGAGCCAGAGACTCGAGAAAATCAAGTCCTCTGAGGAGAGGCCTCTTACAGGGCCCAGTGGGCCTTCAAGGCGGCCCAAGACGGCCCTAGGTGCTCCCAGATGGACCCAAGGTGGTCCCAACATTGCCTCGTAGGCTCCTTGCTGGCCTACATGGCGGCACCTCGACGGCCCCAAGACGATTCGTATAGCCGTTTTGGCTCGAGGCCCCAAGACCGATTCGTCATAAGCAGTTTTGGCTCCAAGGACAGCGTCAGCTGTGACAGATTGTTCATCGGCTGCCGCACTGGGCAGCACACAGCAAGAGAAGTGCTTCAGACTCAGCAGATGCTGCTGTGATCGTGTATCTGCTGGGGACACCCCGCACGATGCTTCTGCTGACGCCATGCGCATTCATTGGTCCCGGCTGGGGGTCCACAAAGCCGCCTGCCCCCGGTGTGGAGGCTCTGAGGGCGTGCAACGGGAGTAAGGCCAGCACCAAAGTCGAGGTCGCACTCGTCCGCCCGGGGGCACACCCGCAATGGGCGGCGTGGCCGTATCCAATGCACGCCTACACACATGCGGACTCGCGCCGCCTTTCCCAGAAGGAAGACGCAGACGCTCCCTGGTCGAATCCCCAGTCCAGTGAATTCCAATGGATACTGGCTGTGATCATCAGCATCGTCCTAACTTATGTCGGTGCCTTCCTTTACAAACGCGGGATCGTCGACAAGCGGGGGCCCTGGCAGGGCTGGGAGGGCAATCCCCAACTCAGCCTCGCGATCGCATGGAGTGGTGGCGTGTGGAGGTACACCTGCTGCGGCGACTGCTGCTTGCAGGACCACGTCTATTGCTGGTACGCCTGCCTCTGTCTCGGTGCCAGGCTCGGCGACACCTACACGGCGGCGAACATCGGCGGGCCCGGCTATTTTGCGTACGTCCACGCCGTCGTGGCAGTCTGGTTGTCCGGCCAGCTCATAGCCGTGGTGTGGAAGATACTCATGCCCATGATGGTCAGTTGGGACGGCTGGTCTGACGACAACTGGTCCGATGGTCTGATGGGCACGGGCGCATTCTTTTCGCATATGTTGCTGGCGGCCTGGCTCGCTGGCCAGAGAATGAAGCTCCGCGAGGCACTCGGGGACCCGGCGCCCGAGAGTCGGTGGACGAAGGACTTCTGCTGCTATTGGTGGTTCCCCTTCTGCATGGCCGTGCAGGAGGGCAGGCAGGTGGACGAGATCACCAATGTCCATACCAAGTGCTGCTTCCGATTGGGTGATGGAAACCTGCTCAAGCCCGTTTGCGAGGACTTACGGCGACCTGGACGGGCCCCCCCGGGGGCGATGCGGCCTTCAGCCGTGGTCGGACAGCCGGTGGGAGCTCCCGCGGTCCCAGTGAAGCTGGGCACGGCGGGGAAGGTAGCAGACCCCAAGTAGCACCCAATCCCTGCCGAGCCCTGGCTGCTCTCCTGATCCGCTGTCCTTCCCGCGCGATCAGTTCGTGAAGAACGCGAGTCATGGCCACCTGCCTTTTTCGGTACGCAGTCCCTCGGCGCCGCCTTAATTGGGTGGAAGCGTGGACTGGCCCGACGCTGAGGGCATGACATTTCACCTGTCCCAGCGAGATGCTCTGCCCCCTGTGCAGGCCTGGCAACCTCTCTCCGCCGGTGCCGCCGCCATGGGGCGGGCACGTCGCGCAGCATCTTCCTCGCACGTGCCAGCAGCCATCCATAAAAGCACTGGCCGCACCAGAAGACGGCCCCAGAACGGCCCATCAGAGAGCGGATGGGCCGCCCGCTCGCGGCGCGGCGCGCCGGAGGGAGCGAACGGTCAGGTCAATCCTCCTGCAAGATCGAGGCTTGGGACAGTCTCGGGCCTTCGGGGGCCTCTGGGGGCCTCCAGAGGCACGGAGCAGGGAAAATCGAGTATCGAAGACGCCTACGGCGAATCACCGCCGCCCCCTGCCTTTTTGGAAGCGCCTATGTGGCCGAACGTTGAGGCCAGACCTGCCAAGCTATCGGACCACGTGTTCCCCGAATCGGTTTGGAAAGCCTTCGGGGAACACGTGGGCATCTTGAAGGTCATCTTGGCCGTCTTGGAGGCCTCTTGGGCAAGCTTTGGGCGATCTTTGGGGCTTTTGGGCCGTCTCGGGCCAGCTTCGAGCCAACTTCGGCCATCTTGGTGGGTTCCTGGCACGTCTGAAGCCGTCGGAAGCCGTTTGGGGGGCCTCTATGGGCCGACTTGGGGCCCGCTTGGAATGCTCCAGGGCCGTCTTGGAGGCCATCTTGGGCGTCTTGGAGGCCATCTTGGGCGTGTTGGGGGCCTCTTGGGCCCTCTTGGGGCCCTCTAGGGGCCATCTTGGAGGCCACTTGGGCCATCATGGGGCTCTCTTGGGGGCCTCTTGGGCGATCTTGGGGGCTTCTTGGGCCGTCTCGAGCCGTCGGAGAGCCGAAAAGGCGCAAATGCCAGAATCCTTCAAAAACCAATGAAAAATCAATGATTTTGGCCTCTTCGGACTCTCCTGGAGGACCTCTTGGAGGCCTCTTGGGCCGTCTGGGAGGCCTCTGGGGGGCCTCTTGGGCCGTCTTGGGCCGTCTTGGACTCTCTTGGGCCGTTTTGGAGGCCGTCTTGGACCATCTCGGGCGGACTTGGAGGCCATCTTGGGCCATCTTCGCGATTTTTTGAGGATGTCCCGAGCGAAACGGCCGTTTTTTGGAGGATGTTTTTCCGGATTGAGGTCCTTTCGGCTTCCTCCCGGGACCCCGGCGGGACGTGCCCACTGGGGGAGTTCTTTTAGAAAAAGAACCAAAACCAAAACCTGAAACGTCCAGCACGCCGTGCACCCCTGCAAGCAGGGGACGGCGGATCCAGCTGCCTACGGCAAGTCCCGCCCCCGTGCCTGGGTTTGGGTAATAAGCCTAGTGGATGTTCGTTGGAATCTCATGGCAGGTCTCTTGGAGGCAGTTTTGAGGCCTCTTGCAGCCCATTCTTGGGCCTCTTGGGGCCTCTTGGAGGCCTCTTGGAGGCCTCTTGGGGGCCTCTGGGGGCCTCTTGGGCGCCTCTTGGGCGCCTCCTGGGGGTCCCTTGGGGCGGAAGGCTCGGACTTTCGGTTCGTGTTCCCTCTCTGGGGTCCCCTTTTGGGGCGGGGCTCTCTTGGGCCGTCTTGGGGCGCTCTCAGGCCGTCTTGGGGCCCTCTTGGAGGCCTCTTGGGCCGTCATGGAAGCTTTGGGGGGCCCCAGGGAGGCGCCATGGCCGCCCAGGGACCCCCTGGGAGTATGGCCGGTGCGCGCAACGAGGTGCGGCCTGGAGAAGGGAAGGTCCCTTTACGTAGAAGATTGCAGAACCCTACCAGACAGCACTTGGCATTCTGCCACCCCTCAACGTGCCAGGGACCACGGTAGCGGATTCAGTTTTGCTGAATGTTTTGCTGTGCCCCTTGGGGCCTCCTGGGGTGCCCTCGACGCAGGGCGGGATCCGCCTCGAAATATTATGGTCGGAGCGATCCCCATGAGGTCCGCAGAGGCCGACTTTGAAGCGGAGCGGATCCCGACTTCAGCGACTCGGAAAGAATCGCGCCGGAGCTTTTTCCCCATTTTCGGCGTCCAGGGGCGCTTCTGGGCCCTTTGGCTGTGGAGCAGGACTCACACTGTAAAGCGTTTCCTGGGCTAGGGGTCGAGAGTCTCGGGAGCCAGAGACTCGAGAAAATCAAGTCCTCTGAGGAGAGGCCTCTTACAGGGCCCAGTGGGCCTTCAAGACGCCCCAAGACGGCCCTAGGTGCTCCCAGATGGAACCAAGGTGGTCCCAACATTGCCTCGTAGGCTCCTTGCTGGCCTACATGGCGGCACCTCGACGGCCCCAAGACGATTCGTATAGCCGTTTTGGCTCAAGGACAGCGTCGTTTTATTTTGTTCATCGGCTGCGTGGGCAGATTGCATCGGAGTGCTTCAGACTCGCGATGCTTTCTGTTGATCGTGTCCTCTGGCTGGGACACCACGAGATGCTTCTCTCCATGCGCTCTATGAGTCCCCTTGGGGGGTCACTCGACGGCCGGCTGTGCTGGAGGCTCTGAAGGGCGTGCTACCGGAGTCAGGCCAGCACAACTCGAGGTGCTCCATCCGCGGGTGCCCCCGATGGGGCGCGTGGCCGTATCTCAATAGCACGCTCCATGCGGACTCGCGCACACCATGGCTGGTATAGGAAGCGCAGACGCTCCCTGGTCAATCCCCAGTCCAGTGAATTTCCAATTGATAACTAGCTGTGATCATCAGCATCGTTCTAACGGGAATGTCGGTGCCTTCCTCTACAAACGCGGGATCGTCCGACAAGCGGGAGCCCTGGCAGGGCTTGGGAGGGCATCCCAACTCAGCTCCTCGCGATCGCATGGACGGTGGTGGCTGTGGAGGTACACCTGCTGCGGCGACTGCTGCTTGCAGGACCACGTCTATTGCTGGTACGCCTGCCTCTGTCTCGGTGCCAGGCTCGGCGATACCTACACGGCGGCGAACATCGGCGGGCCCGGCTATTTTGCGTACGTCCACGCTGTCGTGGCAGTCTGGTTGTCCGGCCAGCTCATAGCCGTGGTGTGGAAGATACTCATGCCCATGATGGTCAGTTGGGACGGCTGGTCTGACGACAACTGGTCCGATGGTCTGATGGGCACGGGCGCATTCTTTTCGCATATGTTGCTGGCGGCCTGGCTCGCTGGCCAGAGAATGAAGCTCCGCGAGGCACTCGGGGACCCGGCGCCCGAGAGTCGGTGGACGAAGGACTTCTGCTGCTATTGGTGGTTCCCCTTCTGCATGGCCGTGCAGGAGGGCAGGCAGGTGGACGAGATCACCAATGTTCATACCAAGTGCTGCTTCCGATTGGGTGATGGAAACCTGCTCAAGCCCGTTTGCGAGGACTTACGGCGACCTGGACGGGCCCCCCCGGGGGCGATGCGGCCCTCAGCCGTGGTCGGACAGCCGGTGGGAGCTCCCGCGGTCCCAGTGAAGCTGGGCACGGCGGGGAAGGTAGCAGACCCCAAGTAGCAGCCAATCCCTGCCGAGCCCTGGCTGCTCTCCTGATCCGCTGTCCTTCCCGCGCGAGCAGTTCGTGAAGAACGCGAGTCATGGCCACCTGCCTTTTTCGGTACGCAGTCCCTCGGCGCCGCCCTAATTGGGTGGAAGCGTGGACTGGCCCGACGCTGAGGGCATGACATTTCACCTGTCCCAGCGAGATGCTCTGCCCCCTTTGCAGGCCTGGCAACCTCTCTCCGCCGGTGCCGCCGCCATGGGGCGGGCACGTCGCGCAGCATCTTCCTCGCACGTGCCAGCAGCCATCCATAAAAGCACTGGCCGCACCAGAAGACGGCCCCAGAACGGCCCATCAGAGAGCGGATGGGCCGCCCGCTCGCGGCGCGGCGCGCCGGAGGGAGCGAACGGTCAGGTCAATCCTCCTGCAAGATCGAGGCTTGGGACAGTCTCGGGCCTTTGGGGGCCTCTGGGGGCCTCCAGAGGCACGGAGCAGGGAAAATCGAGTATCCAGCTGCCTACGGCAAGTCCCGCCCTCGTGCCTGGGTTCTGGGTAATGAGCCTAGTGGATGTTCGTTGGAATCTCATGGCAGGCCTCTTGGAGGCAGTTTTGAGGCCTCTTGCAGCCCATTTTTGGGCCTCTTGGGGGCCTCTTGGGACCTCTTGGAAGCCTCTGTGGGGCCTCTTGGGCGCCTCTTGGGCGCCTCCTGGGGGTCCCTTGGGGCGGAAGGCTCGGACTTTCGGTTCGTGTTCCCTCTCTGGGGTCCCCTTTTGGGGCGGGGCTCTCTTGGGCCGTCTTGGGGCGCTCTTAGGCCGTCTTGGGGCCCTCTTGGGGGCCTCTCGGGCCGTCATGGAAGCTTTGGGGGGCCCCAGGGAGGCGCCATGGCCGCCCAGGGACCCCCTGGGAGTATGGCCGGTGCGCGCAACGAGCTGCGGCCTGGAGAAGGGAAGGTCCCTTTACGTAGAAGATTGCAGAACCCTACCAGACAGCACTTGGCATTCTGCCACCCCTCAACGTGCCAGGGACCACGGTAGCGGATTCAGTTTTGCTGAATGTTTTGCTGTGCCCCTTGGGGCCTCCTGGGGTGCCCTCGACGCAGGGCGGGATCCGCCTCGAAATATTATGGTCGGAGCGATCCCCATGAGGTCCGCAGAGGCCGACTTTGAAGCGGAGCGGATCCCGACTTAAGCGACTCGGAAAGAATCGCGCCGGAGCTTTTTCCCCCATTTTCGGCGTCCAGGGGCGCTTCTGGGCCCTTTGGCTGTGGAGCAGGACTCACACTGTAAAGCGCTTCCTGGGCTAGGGGTCGAGAGTTTCGGGAGCCAGAGACTCGAGAAAATCAAGTCCTCTGAGGAGAGGCCTCTTACAGGGCCCAGTGGGCCTTCAAGGCGGCCCAAGACGGCCCTAGGTGCTCCCAGATGGACCCAAGGTGGTCCCAACATTGCCTCGTAGGCTCCTTGCTGGCCTACATGGCGGCACCTCGACGGCCCCAAGACGATTCGTATAGCCGTTTTGGCTCAAGGACAGCGTCGTTTTATTTTGTTCATCGGCTGCGTGGGCAGATTGCATCGAGTGCTTCAGACTCGCGATGCTTCTGTTGATCGTGTCTCTGCTGGGACACCCCGCGATGCTTCTCTTCCATGCGCTCCATTGGTCCGTGGGGGGTCACTTCGACGCCGCGGTGCTGGAGGCTCTGAAGGGCGTGCTACCGGAGTCAGGCCAGGCACAACTCGAGGTGCTCTCCGCGGGGGCACCCGAATGGGCGGCGTGGCCGTATCTCAATGGCACGCTCCATGCGGACTCGCGCCGCCTTTCCCAGCAGGAAGACGCAGGCGCTCCCTGGTCGAATCCCCAGTCCAGTGAATTCCAATGGATACTGGCTGTGATCATCAGCATCGTCCTAACTTATGTCGGTGCCTTCCTCTACAAACGCGGGATCGTCGACAAGCGGGGGCCCTGGCAGGGCTGGGAGGGCAATCCCCAACTCAGCCTCGCGATCGCATGGAGTGGTGGCGTGTGGAGGTACACCTGCTGCGGCGACTGCTGCTTGCAGGACCACGTCTATTGCTGGTACGCCTGCCTCTGTCTCGGTGCCAGGCTCGGCGACACCTACACGGCGGCGAACATCGGCGGGCCCGGCTATTTTGCGTACGTCCACGCCGTCGTGGCAGTCTGGTTGTCCGGCCAGCTCATAGCCGTGGTGTGGAAGATACTCATGCCCATGATGGTCAGTTGGGACGGCTGGTCTGACGACAACTGGTCCGATGGTCTGATGGGCACGGGCGCATTCTTTTCGCATATGTTGCTGGCGGCCTGGCTCGCTGGCCAGAGAATGAAGCTCCGCGAGGCACTCGGGGACCCGGCGCCCGAGAGTCGGTGGACGAAGGACTTCTGCTGCTATTGGTGGTTCCCCTTCTGCATGGCCGTGCAGGAGGGCAGGCAGGTGGACGAGATCACCAATGTTCATACCAAGTGCTGCTTCCGATTGGGTGATGGAAACCTGCTCAAGCCCGTTTGCGAGGACTTACGGCGACCTGGACGGGCCCCCCCGGGGGCGATGCGGCCCTCAGCCGTGGTCGGACAGCCGGTGGGAGCTCCCGCGGTCCCAGTGAAGCTGGGCACGGCGGGGAAGGTAGCAGACCCCAAGTAGCAGCCAATCCCTGCCGAGCCCTGGCTGCTCTCCTGATCCGCTGTCCTTCCCGCGCGAGCAGTTCGTGAAGAACGCGAGTCATGGCCACCTGCCTTTTTCGGTACGCAGTCCCTCGGCGCCGCCCTAATTGGGTGGAAGCGTGGACTGGCCCGACGCTGAGGGCATGACATTCACCTGTCCCAGCGAGATGCTCTGCCCCCCTGTGCAGGCCTGGCAACCTCTCTCCGCCGGTGCCGCCGCCATGGGGCGGGCACGTCGCGCAGCATCTTCCTCGCACGTGCCAGCAGCCATCCATAAAAGCACTGGCCGCACCAGAAGACGGCCCCAGAACGGCCCATCAGAGAGCGGATGGGCCGCCCGCTCGCGGCGCGGCGCGCCGGAGGGAGCGAACGGTCAGGTCAATCCTCCTGCAAGATCGAGGCTTGGGACAGTCTCGGGCCTTTGGGGGCCCCTGGGGGCCTCCAGAGGCACGGAGCAGGGAGGATCGAGTATCCAGCTGCCTACGGCAAGTCCCGCCCCCGTGCCTGGGCTCTGGGTTATAAGCCTAGTGGATGTTCGTTGGAATCTCATGGCAGGCCTCTTGGAGGCAGTTTTGAGGCCTCTTGCAGCCCATTTTTGGGCCTCTTGGGGGCCTCTTGGGGCCTCTTGGAGGCCTCTTGGGGGCCTCTGGGGGCCTCTTGGGCGCCTCCTGGGGGTCCCTTGGGGCGGAAGGCTCGGACTTTCGGTTCGTGTTCCCTCTCTGGGGTCCCCTTTTGGGGCGGGGCTCTCTTGGGCCGTCTTGGGGCGCTCTCAGGCCGTCTTGGGGCCCTTTTGGAGGCCTCTTGGGCCGTCATGGAAGCTTTGGGGGGCCCCAGGGAGGCGCCATGGCCGCCCAGGGACCCCCTGGGAGTATGGCCGGTGCGCGCAACGAGGTGCGGCCTGGAGAAGGGAAGGTCCCTTTACGTAGAAGATTGCAGAACCCTACCAGACAGCACTTGGCATTCTGCCACCCCTCAACGTGCTAGGGACCACGGTGGCGGATTCAGTTTTGCTGAATGTTTTGCTGTGCCCCTTGGGGCCTCCTGGGGTGCCCTCGACGCAGGGCGGGATCCGCCTCGAAATATTATGGTCGGAGCGATCCCCATGAGGTCCGCAGAGGCCGACTTTGAAGCGGAGCGAGTCCAGACTTCCAGCGACTCGGAAAGAATAGCGCTGGAGCTTTTTCCACAGGTTTCGGCGTCCAGGAGCGCTTCTGGACCCTTTGGCTGTGGAGCAGGACTCACACTGTACAGCGTTTCCTGGGCTAGGGGTCGAGAGTCTCGGGAGCCAGAGACTCGAGAAAATCAAGTCCTCTGATGAGAGGCCTCTTACAGGGCCCAGTGGGCCTTCAAGGCGGCCCAAGACGGCCCTAGGTGCTCCCAGATGGAACCAAGGTGGTCCCAACATTGCCTCGTAGGCTCCTTGCTGGCCTCCATGGCGGCACCTCGACGGCCCCAAGACGATTCGTATAGCCGTTTTGGCTCAAGGACAGCGTCGTTTGATTTTGTTCATCGGCTGCGTGGGCAGATTGCATCGAGTGCTTCAGACTCGCGATGCTTCTGTTGATCGTGTCTCTGCTGGGACACCCCGCGATGCTTCTCTTCCATGCGCTCCATTGGTCCGTGGGGGGTCACTTCGACGCCGCGGTGCTGGAGGCTCTGAAGGGCGTGCTACCGGAGTCAGGCCAGGCACAACTCGAGGTGCTCTCCGCGGGGGCACCCGAATGGGCGGCGTGGCCGTATCTCAATGGCACGCTCCATGCGGACTCGCGCCGCCTTTCCCAGCAGGAAGACGCAGGCGCTCCCTGGTCGAATCCCCAGTCCAGTGAATTCCAATGGATACTGGCTGTGATCATCAGCATCGTCCTAACTTATGTCGGTGCCTTCCTCTACAAACGCGGGATCGTCGACAAGCGGGGGCCCTGGCAGGGCTGGGAGGGCAATCCCCAACTCAGCCTCGCGATCGCATGGAGTGGTGGCGTGTGGAGGTACACCTGCTGCGGCGACTGCTGCTTGCAGGACCACGTCTATTGCTGGTACGCCTGCCTCTGTCTCGGTGCCAGGCTCGGCGACACCTACACGGCGGCGAACATCGGCGGGCCCGGCTATTTTGCGTACGTCCACGCCGTCGTGGCAGTCTGGTTGTCCGGCCAGCTCATAGCCGTGGTGTGGAAGATACTCATGCCCATGATGGTCAGTTGGGACGGCTGGTCTGACGACAACTGGTCCGATGGTCTGATGGGCACGGGCGCATTCTTTTCGCATATGTTGCTGGCGGCCTGGCTCGCTGGCCAGAGAATGAAGCTCCGCGAGGCACTCGGGGACCCGGCGCCCGAGAGTCGGTGGACGAAGGACTTCTGCTGCTATTGGTGGTTCCCCTTCTGCATGGCCGTGCAGGAGGGCAGGCAGGTGGACGAGATCACCAATGTCCATACCAAGTGCTGCTTCCGATTGGGTGATGGAAACCTGCTCAAGCCCGTTTGCGAGGACTTACGGCGACCTGGACGGGCCCCCCCGGGGGCGATGCGGCCCTCAGCCGTGGTCGGACAGCCGGTGGGAGCTCCCGCGGTCCCAGTGAAGCTGGGCACGGCGGGGAAGGTAGCAGACCCCAAGTAGCAGCCAATCCCTGCCGAGCCCTGGCTGCTCTCCTGATCCGCTGTCCTTCCCGCGCGAGCAGTTCGTGAAGAACGCGAGTCATGGCCACCTGCCTTTTTCGGTACGCAGTCCCTCGGCGCCGCCCTAATTGGGTGGAAGCGTGGACTGGCCCGACGCTGAGGGCATGACATCCAACCTGTCCCAGCGAGATGCTCTGCCCCCTGTGCAGGCCTGGCAACCTCTCTCCGCCGGTGCCGCCGCCATGGGGCGGGCACGTCGCGCAGCATCTTCCTCGCACGTGCCAGCAGCCATCCATAAAAGCACTGGCCGCACCAGAAGACGGCCCCAGAACGGCCCATCAGAGAGCGGATGGGCCGCCCGCTCGCGGCGCGGCGCGCCGGAGGGAGCGAACGGTCAGGTCAATCCTCCTGCAAGATCGAGGCTTGGGACAGTCTCGGGCCTTTGGGGGCCCCTGGGGGCCTCCAGAGGCACGGAGCAGGGAGGATCGAGTATCCAGCTGCCTACGGCAAGTCCCGCTCCCGTGCCTGGGCTCTGGGTTATAAGCCTAGTGGATGTTCGTTGGAATCTCATGGCAGGCCTCTTGGAGGCAGTTTTGAGGCCTCTTGCAGCCCATTTTTGGGCCTCTTGGGGGCCTCTTGGGGCCTCTTGGGGGCCTCTTGGGGGCCTCTGGGGGCCTCTTGGGCGCCTCCTGGGGGCCCCTTGGGGCGGAAGGCTCGGACTTTCGGTTCGTGTCCCCTCTCTGGGGTCCCCTTTTGAGGCGGGGCCCTCTTGGGCCGTCTTGGGGCGCTCTTAGGCCGTCTTGGGGCCCTCTTGGAGGCCTCTTGGGCCGTTTTGGAGTGGTCTTGGGGGCCTCTCGGGCCGGCTTGGAGCGTCGGAAAGCCGAAAAGGCGAGAACGCCCCAATCCTCCCAGAACGCAAGGAACGTCAATGATGTTTTGCCTTCGGGGGCCCTCCTGGAAGACCTCTTGGAGGCCTCCAGGGACACCTTGGAAGCTTCATGCGCCATTTTGAAGCCATCTCGGCCGTCTTCGAGCGATCGTTCGGCGACTCGGGGTCCTCTTGGACCGTCTTGGGGGGGCCTCCTGGGCCGTCATGGAAGCCTTGGGGAGCCCCAGGGAGGCGCCATGGCCGCCCAGGGACCCCCTGGGAGTATGGCCGGTGCGCGCAACGAGGTGCGGCCCAGAGAAGGGAAGGTCCTATTACGTAGAAGATTGCAACACCCTACCAGACAGCACTTGGCATTCTGCCACCCCTCAACGTGCCAGGGACCACGGTGGCGGATTCAGTTTTGCTGAATGTTTTGCTGTGCCCCTTGGGGCCTCCTGGGGTGCCCTCGACGCAGGGCGGGATCCGCCTCGAAATATTCTGGTCGGAGCGATCCCCATGAGGTCCGCAGAGGCCGACTTTGAAGCGGAGCGGATCCAGACTTCAGCGACTCGGAAAGAATCGCGTTGGAGCCTTCTCCCCAGTTTTCGGTGTCCAGGGGCGCTTCTGGGCCCTTTGGCTGTGGAGCAGGACTCACACTGTACAGCGTTTCCTGGGCTAGGGGTCGAGAGTTTCGGGAGCCAGAGACTCGGGAAAATCAAGTCCTCGTAGGAGAGGCCTCTTACAGGGCCCAGTGGGCCTTCAAGACGCCCCAAGACGGCCCTAGGTGTCCCCAGATGGACCCAAGGTGGTCCCAACATTGCCTCGTAGGCTCCTTGCTGGCCTCCATGGCGGCACCTCGACGGCCCCAAGACGATTCGTATAGCCGTTTTGGCTCAAGGACAGCGTCGTTTGATTTTGTTCATCGGCTGCGTGGGCAGACTGCATCGAGTGCTTCAGACTCGCGATGCTTCTGTTGATCGTGTCACTGCTGGGACACCCCGCGATGCTTCTCTTCCATGCGCTCCATTGGTCCGTGGGGGGTCACTTCGACGCCGCGGTGCTGGAGGCTCTGAAGGGCGTGCTACTGGAGTCAGGCCAGGCACAATTGGAGGTGCTCTCCGCGGGGGCACCCGAATGGGCGGCGTGGCCGTATCTCAATGGCACGCTCCATGTGGACTCGCGCCGCCTTTCCAAGCAGGAAGACGCAGACGCTCCCTGGTCGAATCCCCAGTCCAGTGAATTCCAATGGATACTGGCTGTGATCATCAGCATCGTCCTAACTTATGTCGGTGCCTTCCTCTACAAACGCGGGATCGTCGACAAGCGGGGGCCCTGGCAGGGCTGGGAGGGCAATCCCCAACTCAGCCTCGCGATCGCATGGAGTGGTGGCGTGTGGAGGTACACCTGCTGCGGCGACTGCTGCTTGCAGGACCACGTCTATTGCTGGTACGCCTGCCTCTGTCTCGGTGCCAGGCTCGGCGACACCTACACGGCGGCGAACATCGGCGGGCCCGGCTATTTTGCGTACGTCCACGCCGTCGTGGCAGTCTGGTTGTCCGGCCAGCTCATAGCCGTGGTGTGGAAGATACTCATGCCCATGATGGTCAGTTGGGACGGCTGGTCTGACGACAACTGGTCCGATGGTCTGATGGGCACGGGCGCATTCTTTTCGCATATGTTGCTGGCGGCCTGGCTCGCTGGCCAGAGAATGAAGCTCCGCGAGGCACTCGGGGACCCGGCGCCCGAGAGTCGGTGGACGAAGGACTTCTGCTGCTATTGGTGGTTCCCCTTCTGCATGGCCGTGCAGGAGGGCAGGCAGGTGGACGAGATCACCAATGTTCATACCAAGTGCTGCTTCCGATTGGGTGATGGAAACCTGCTCAAGCCCGTTTGCGAGGACTTACGGCGACCTGGACGGGCCCCCCCGGGGGCGATGCGGCCCTCAGCCGTGGTCGGACAGCCGGTGGGAGCTCCCGCGGTCCCAGTGAAGCTGGGCACGGCGGGGAAGGTAGCAGACCCCAAGTAGCAGCCAATCCCTGCCGAGCCCTGGCTGCTCTCCTGATCCGCTGTCCTTCCCGCGCGAGCAGTTCGTGAAGAACGCGAGTCATGGCCACCTGCCTTTTTCGGTACGCAGTCCCTCGGCGCCGCCCTAATTGGGTGCAAACGTGGACTGGCCCGACGCTGAGGGCATGACATCTAACCTGTCCCAGCGAGATGCTCTGCCCCCTGTGCAGGCCTGGCAACCTCTCTCCGCCGGTGCCGCCGCCATGGGGCGGGCACGTCGCGCAGCATCTTCCTCGCACGTGCCAGCAGCCATCCATAAAAGCACTGGCCGCACCAGAAGACGGCCCCAGAACGGCCCATCAGAGAGCGGATGGGCCGCCCGCTCGCGGCGCGGCGCGCCGGAGGGAGCGAACGGTCAGGTCAATCCTCCTGCAAGATCGAGGCTTGGGACAGTCTCGGCTTTTGGGGGCCCCTGGGGGCCTCCAGGGGCACGGAGCAGGGAGGATCGAGTATCCAGCTGCCTACGGCAAGTCACGCCCCCGTGCCTGGGCTCTGGGTCATAAGCCTGGATGTTAGTTGGAATCTCATGGGAGACGGGAGGCCTCTCGGGGGCCTCCTGGAGGCGGTTTTGGGGCCTCTTGCGGGCTGTTTTGGGGCCTCTTGGGGGCCTCTCGGGAGCCTCTTGGGGACCTCTTGGGGGCCTCTTGGGCGCCTCTTGGGGGCCTCTCGGGGGCCTCTTGGGGTCTCTTGGAGCCTCCTTGGGGCTCCTTGGGGCGGAAGGCTCGAACTTTCGGTTCCGGAAAAGGCCGGCGGCCTTCGCTTTTTTCTGCGGCCTTCGCCTTTCTCGGCGGCCTTCACTCTTCTCGGTGGCCTTCGCTTTTCTCGGCGGCCTTCGCTTTTCTCGGCGCCCGTCGCTTTTTTCGGTGGCCGTCGCTTTGCTCGGCGGGTTTCGTTTTTTGTTCGGCACCCTTTGCTTTTTTCGGTGGCCTTCGTTTGTTGTTTTGTTTTCTTTGTTCGGTGGCCTTCGCATCGTCCCTGGCTTTTTGTTTCTCACCCTTTCATTTTGTTCATAGTCCTTCGTTTTTGTTCGGCGCCTTCGCTTGGTTTCGGCGGCCTTCGCTTTGTTACTGCGGTTTTAGTGCTTGTTTTATCTGACGCCCTTTTCTTTTTTCGGCGGCCTTCGCTTTCTGCGGCGCACTTCTTTTTTTTCCTGGCGCCCTTGAGTTGTTCTCTGCGCAATTCGTTGTTTGTTTCTGCATTCTCCCTTTTTTTCGTAGTTAAACCATGTTCGCTATCACCCCGCCCTCCCTTTTGCCTTTACCCTTCCTTTCCCTGTCCGTCTTCGCTGTCCCCCGCCTTCCCTTTCGTTTTCCCCCGCCTCTTTCGCTTCTGCTTTGTTTTGTTTCGTTTTGTTTCGGCGCCCTTTTGATTTGGCGCCTTCATGTTCGCCCCCTTTCGCTTCGGCGCCCTCGTGTTTTGTTGCGCGTTTTGTTGACGACAGGCTGGCGTTGCGTTTTGTTGCGCTTTTTGTTGTTCACTCGCGAGTGCTCTTGTTGTTTGTGTTGTTCGAGCGCTCGTGGCGCATTCTGTTTTGTTCTGACTTAAAACGTTGTTCGGACATGTTCGAAACACCATAACGAAAACAGAACGACCCGAACAAAGCTGAACATGTTCAGCAGCAGAACGGAACAGAACAGTAGAACGCGGTTCCGGTGCAGCCTTGCTTGAAACCCCAGAACAAGCTACTTCAGCGCAATTGCTAGCACAATTTTACCACAATGATTTTTGTTAGAGTGTTGCGCTGCACTGCACTTGCAGTCCGGGCTCCAGCGCTTTTCCTCCTCTGGTTGCGCCCCCGCGTGCGGGCACCTTCGCGGCTGAGAGTTCGCTTGGCATCGCTCGGACGTGTGCATTTTTCCTTCGGCGAGGACCATCGAGGAGCATCCTTGATCATTTGGCGAAAAAAACACGCACGAAACCAAAAAAACGCATGGAGTGGACGTCCGAGCGATGGCCAGCTCGGGGGATTTTTTTTTCTTCCGCGGAAGCCTGACTTCCTGGGTGCTTCGGCGCGCCGCAGGAGCCCTTCCCTTCCGGATGGGCTCCCGGGTCCCACGTTCGGGTCGGCCAGGTGATGTTTTGGACGACGTGTGCTGTTGGCCAGGTCACACATAGGGGTGCAGAGAGAATCGCGCTTCGCAACTCGCGGCTTGGGTTGGCGAGGCGCCCTTCTCCAGGGCGGCGGCGCGGGGGCTAGAACCGCGAGTCGCGCACCGCGGTGCGCGATGCGCGAAGGCAGGTGACCTACAGTCGGGGCGCTGAAGAAGGAACCCTTCTCGTTGGGGAGGGGCTCGGTGTTCCTCGATTGCTTCACAGTTTGCCTTGGGTTTTCCTGAGGTTTCCCATGGGGGATCGAAGTTTAGCTTATGAGAAAAAGGGGCCTCGTTCCTTATTTGGGGTTCCTTAGGTCAACGCCCCGACTGTAGGTGCCAAGCGAAGCTCGAAGTTACGTGGCTGGATATCTCCTGGAGTCTCTAGAGCTCCCTGGACCCGAGGCCCTCGGAGAGCCACAGAGGGGCCCAGAAGCCGCGGTCTCCCCCCGATTCTCGGCGGATCGATTGACGACGACCGAGATCCGCTCAAGGTCGGTCCCTGGACTGATCCTCCTTGATCCGTGGCGGATCAGAGTCGGATACACATACGCGAGCATGCGGCATTGCCGCCGAGGCGGATGCGTGGATCGATTCGGCCAGAACGCCAGCGTGGAGCGAGCTGGAGCATTGTTTTCTGCAGCAGGAGTTGGCCTGCTGACCGCGGCAAGCTTGCCTGACGCATCAGATGAACGGCCTTTTCTCGGGAGCTCCAGCCCAGCCCCGCTCAGTCGCGTAGACGCTCTTGCAGGCACATCTTTCAGTCCAGTTCAATGCTTGACTGTCCAAGGATTTTCGCCGTTCGGTCGGTTGGGCTGCGTCGCAGTCGGCTGCATTCGGTCGGTTCGATTCGGTTCTGTCGGTTGCCGCGTCGCTGCGCCCTTCTGGGCTGGTTTCGGCACGTCGGTTTCGGTCGGCTTCGTTCGCTCTGTCGGCTCTGCTTGTTGTCGCCATTGGACGTCCATGCGGCCCCAGGGGCCGAAACGGCCTCCAGAGGTCGGAATTTGAGCTGAACTTGTCGGTGCTCGGATCTCGATCATCGATGCTCGTAGCCCGCCCTCGCCGGGGGCCGAAACGGCCTCCAGAGGCCAGGATTGCGCTGAACTTGTCGGTCCTCGGACCTCTATCTTCGATGCTCGTGGCCCGCCCTCGTCTCTTCGGGTCGGACGAGTGTGCGGCGTCTGCTGCATGTGCAGCTGGTCTCGGCTCCGTCGTCTGGCGCACTCCTTGACACACTGGCGCCTCGCTGCGCCAGGAAAGCCAGCTGCACGAGCCGATTCGCTACCCCCCCCCCATACTGCAGTCGGAGCCTGACGTTCTTCGGTTGCTGGGGAGGGCACCCTAATGCTCTTCGTGCCTGTTAGATATTCTTGTGCATCCTGGCGGAGGGCTATACTACAGTCGGAGCCTGACGTTCTTCGGTTGCTGGGGAGGGTGCCCTAATGCTCTTCGTGCCTGTTGGATGTTCTTGTGCATCCTGGGGGAGGGCACCCTTGTCTGCTCTTCATGGTGGCCGGCGGAGGGTCTCGTGTTCTTGAATGAGTTTCTCTTGGCTTAGGTCCGGCTGTACCCCCATCCTCCCCCTCCTCCTCCTCCTCCTCCTCCTCCTCCTCCTCTTCTTCCTCCTCCTCATCCTCATCTTCCCCCTCCATCTCCGCCTCCGCCTCCGCCTCCTCCACCTCCGCCTCCGCACCCCTTTCCCTCCCCCTCCTCCTCCTCCTCCTCCGCCTCCTCCTCCTGCTCCTCCTCCTCCTCCTCCTCCTCCTCCTCCGCCTCCTCCTCCTCCTCCTCCTCCTCCTGGACTCCAGCCAGTGCCAAGTCGTTGCACAAGCCAGGGGCTAAGTGTGAGCCTGGGCCGATGCTGCGCCAGCTTGCTGCTCTTGCCGAGCGGCTCGGTTGGCGCCATCATGCCGAGGGGGAGGGTGAGGCTGCCTGTGCCGCTGCTGCTGCCAGTTTGGGGGCGGAGGCGGGTGGGAGTCTTCTCGTGTGCCACGGGCACCATATTCACAGGGCAGGGTCCTTCCTGTTCTGTGGGCTTTGCGGGGCCCGAGTTGCCCTGGGCTCGGCCAAGATCGAGGCCCTCGGTGAGCCCTGCCCCACGAAGCCCCCTAACCCTGCCCGCCGGCGAGCCAGGGACTGGCTCTCGGAAGGCAGGCACCCAGCAACTGGGATCAGGCTCGTCCAGTCTAATCCGTAATTTGCTTGGTTTTCCTTGAGGGCTGATGTTGCATCACCCTCGCCCAGTATTATATAGTCGTCGTTGCGTTCTCGGATGCTTCGCCGTTCTATGCTGCGTCCTGCGTCCTCCTCCTCCTCCTCCTCCTCCTCCTCCTCCTCTCCCCCCTCCCCCTCCGCATCCGCCTCCGCCTCCGTCTCCGCCTCCTCCCCCTCCGCCTCCGCCCCCCTTCCCATCCCCCTCCTTTTCCTCCTCCTCCTCCTCCTCCTCCTCTTCCTCCTCCTCCTCCTCCTCCTCCTCCTCCCCTCCTCCTCTCCTCCTCCTCCTCCTCCTCCTCCTCCTCTCCTGCTCCTCCTCTTCCTTCTCCTCTTCCTCCTCTTCCTCCTCCTCCTGTTTCTCCTCCTCCTCCTCCTCCTCCTCCCTCCTCCTCCTCCTCCTCCTCCTCCTCCTCCTCCTCCTCCTGCTCCTCCCCTCCTCCTCTTCCACCTCCTCCTGTTTCCTCCTCCTCCTCCTCCTCCTCCTCCTCTTCCTCCTCCTCCTCTTCCTCCTCATCCTTCTCCTCCTCCTCCTCCTCCTCCTCCTCCTCCTCCTCCTCCCCTTTTCGTCCGACCCGATCTTTGCAAAGGAGCTGGAGATCGTGAAGCAGCCCCGGATCTTCGCGCTCCAGAAGCTCGTGGAGGCGCAGCCCCGCATCCCGGCACGCAGAAAAGGGGTGCGCACCAGGCGTGGCACAGGCAGAGCCCACCTCTATCCGACTCGGCATCGGTGCCAGCCGGCCCGATCCGATTCGCATTTCGGGGGCATCCAGGTGGGGGGTGATGATTACGGGGGGATCTCATGGCCCCCCTGCTTTTTCTGATGCGTCACTTGGCTCCCCACAGGGCCCCGCACTTTTTCCGTCGCGGCGCGGCAGAGGCGATCCGCTCGCGCGGGTAGCAAGTTTGGGCTGCGGGGTTGCGAATTGTCCCGCGTGCAGGAGGGGGAAGGGGCAGAAGCGGACGGCCGCGGAGGGAAGAGGGAGGGGGGCGCTCACACGCGGCGGCGCCGCTGGGAGCGCGACGGACGGCCAGGCTGCGGGGCAGCCCTTGGCAGCGGCGCGAGGCGGCGTCGCGGGCGCACCCAGGGGCGGGCGGGGCCAGCAGTCGCAGTGCGGGCAGGGCCCAGCAGGCGGGGGGGCGGGAGCGGCGGGCGGCAGGCGGACGAAGGCTCGGAGGAGGAGGAGGATTGAGGAGGAGGAGGAGGAGGAGGAGGAGGAGCAGGAGGAGGGGGCGGAGGAGGAGGAGGAGGAGGAGGAGGAGGAGGAGGAGGGAGGAGGAGGAGGGAGGAGGAGGAGGAGGAGGAGGAGGGAGGAGGGAGGAGGAGGAGGAGGAGGAGGAGGAGGAGGAGGAGGAGGAGGAGGAGGAGGAGGAGCCGGGCGGTGCAGGCCGGGCAGGGGCGAAGAGGCGGAGGGGGCGGGCAGGGTTAAGTCGGGCCTGTCCCCCTACAGAGGGATTTTCGACGAAAAGTTAAAAATACCCCGAAGATAGTCACAAAATAGTCTGGGGACTATTTTTTGAATATTTGTTCACCTGTTTGGTGTATTTTCGGTGTACTTTTATTTTTCGTCGAAAATCCCCCTGAAGGGGGGCACGCCCGACATAAGGGCAGGGGCGGAGAAGCAAAAACCACCCCAAAGGCCAGCGCACGCATCACAGCCATGGGCAGGGCGGCGCCCAGTGCAAGTGGAGCACGGGCGTGGGCTCCCAATTGAGGGGAGGCAAGAGCGAGGGGAGAGCCGCAACGGCGGTGTCACCCAAGTGGAGCAGCAAGAGCTGCTGGCAGGGGCGGCGGTCAGCCTGCAGAACCCAGGGGCGGGCGGGCAGCGAGCGCTCCACTCGTCCGGGGTGGGGCCCAAGGCGCCGACGCCCAGTGGCGACCAGCGGCGGGCAAGGCGGGCGCTGCACTACGGGCGGGCGGCGACAGCGCGGGACGCCCGCAGACGGAGTGAACGCGGCGCGTAGTCAGAGATCCCCAATGGGCTGCCGCACCGACGCGCTGGGGGGGAGAGTGGGGGCGTCTGCAAGCCAGATGGGTCGGTGACACGCCCTGTGGGAACTGCGTGCCAGGGTCGTCGTCGTAGGCCAGGCGTTGGTTAGAGCCCACGCGACCGGGCCCCCTGGAGCAGCGGCGTATGGGTGGCTCACAGAAATGTCGTACTGGTGGAGGAAGCGTCGGAGAAAGGTGGCATCGTGCCAACCTGGGGTCGCAGGTGTTACCTCCACGCCGAGCACAGAATCGATGCCAGACCGCTCCATCCTCCGGACCCGGGCCACGAGTGCGCCCTTCGAGCTCAGGAAATCGAGCAGGACGCGTGTTGGGACATCCTCAGGGCGCGCCCGCCCCTTCCCTGCTTCCTATAGTCCGAGGTGAACGAGTTCCACTGGACGCGGGTGTTTGGCAACGCGGCCCAGGTTTTCTTGACGAGTAGCAGGAGCTCGCGCCGTGCGGGCTGAGGAGCTTCCCCTCGCGAGCCGGCGCTAAAACTACCAGCGGCGTCGGGGCTACCCGTGGTCATCGTCGCAGGGAAACTGCGAGGTTCTTCGGGATCGGGCGGAGGGTTCACGTGCGGATACGTGTCCGCGGTGACCCACTCGCTGGCTTGAGCCGCTGACGTCGAGGACCGCAAAGACGGACACCACGCAACGCGCAGACTGGCAGGCAGGGCGCGAGCGGGGGCGTCGGAAGGGGCGGTGGGCAGGGCGTGGGGGGGGTCCGGGAAGGCGTCGGGGAGGGAGCCGTCCGTCTGAGAGGCGTCGAAGCGTCGGGAGGGGTACGGGGCTGGGCGCCAGCTGTGGCGGCGGGGCCAGGCGCGTCGGGCTCGGCATCGCGGTCGTCGCGATGCTGAAGTCCGTCTGGCTGCTCACGGTCGCGATGCCGAAGTCCGTCTGGCTGCTCTCCACTCGTGCTGCTGGAGTCCGCCATGCTGCGCGCGATCGAGCTGCTGGGGCCAGTCGTGTTGCTCACACTGCTGCGGCTGGATTCCGTCATGCTGCTCGTGCTCGTGCTGCTGGAGTCCGTCGTCCTGCCGGCGATGGTGTTGCTGGCGCCCGTCCTGTCGTTCGCGGTTGTGCCGTTGGAGTCCGTGGCGTCACGGCCGAGCACCTGGAGTCCAACGCGCTGCTCACGATGGTGCTGCAGGTGTCCGTCGCGCTGCTCAAGGTCGTGATGCTGGAGTCCGTCTGGCTGCTCGCGGTTTTGTTGCTGGAGTCCGTCATGTTGCGCACGATCGATACGTGGGGGTCCGTCGTGCTGCTCACGATGCTGCGGCTGGGATCCGTCATGACCCCCACGCTCGTGCTGCTGGAGTCCGTCGTCCTGCTCACGACGGCGCTGCTGGCGCCCGTCCTGCTGTTCACGGTCGTGCTGCTGGGCCCGATTTCCGGCTGCGGTGGCGAGGGCCCTCCGGGACGAGCAGCGGTATCAGGATCTACCCTTCCTTCGACGCC